TTTTTTTTTTTTTTTTTTTTTTTAAGTTTTTAATGTTTATTTATTTGAGAGAGAGAGAGAGGAGAGCGTGAGCAGGGGAGGGTCAGAGAGAGGGAGACACAGAATCTGATGCAGGCTCCAGGCTCCGAGCTGTCAGCACGGAGCCCGGCGCGGGGCTCGAACCCACGAACTACGAAATCATGAACTGAGCTAAAAGTCAGACGCTTCACCGACTGAGCCACCCAGGCGCCCCAGACAATGCCAACTTCTTAAAGGCACTAGTGTCACCGTTTTGTCTGGCCGTTAAGTTAGTCTGACTTTTAAATAACACCCTTCCTCCCCATGGCTGTCACTTAATGTCAGAGCAACCACAGAAATGGGAACCAAGTAACTAACTCAGACACAGGCAGTTTAGACACCACCCTGAGCCCAAAAGCTGTGTCTGAGCTGACTCTGTGCTCTGGGCTGTGCTCAGAATTGCCTGCCATCTTGCAGACACTGGGGAAAATCCATCCTGTCCAAGTGTCTCCTTATATTTCACCTCCACTCTCCTCACCCTTGGGTTGATTTTGTATATATATATTTTTTAAGCAGCATTCTCAATTACGTAGTGCAAGAATCAGGCCCATCAAGGGAAGCCTTTAGATCTTTTTAAAATTGAAGGAAATCCCAGCATGGTTGCTTTGCTCGAAAACCTCTCTCTGGCAGGAAGAATTAAAACCCAGACTCACACTTTGGTGCCAGACGAGGATCCAGCCGGACTGACAGCCTTTATCTCCTTCACTGCCCAGTCAAAAGGCCAACATTTGAGAGGCTGAAATGTGTAAGATGCACCAGGGAGTTAAAGAAACGAACAGCCTGAGCCACCACCTCAGGGATGGTTGGGGAGGGGTCAAGCAGTAAAAACCACGGTGACAGGCAAATAAACAGAACTTGGGATTTACAAGCATCTGAGGGAAATGAGACCCTGCAACAAAATCTGAAGGAAAAGTCCACTCTCTGAGCTTGCTCTCTCTTTCAAAAGCCGACATCTGAAACTATTTCAGATGACAGTCAATTATTTTTCGCAGATTCTTTCCCTTGCTGGAAAGCAACTCGTTTCTCCCCTCCTTCAGCTGGCTTCAGGACAAAACCATAGTAACCGTACGTTCAGTTAGTCATGAGCAGCTGCGGGCATAAAGAGGCAGGAAACAAAGAGGTTTTCTTACATTTTTCCTCCAAGGAATTCTGGAAAGAGAACGCATTGTGATGTGATGGAGACTGGTTTCAAAACTCTGTGATTTGGGACAGTTCACAGCTTTCTCTCGATGTGTTTCCTCTTCAGTTAAAAGAAAAAAAAGTGAGGAATTGGCTTCTTTAACATGCTAAGATTCTGAACATTGTGAGCCTGGTTTCAGAACCTCGTTTCCTTTTCTTTTCGAAAATCAGATTAGAGAAGGCCTTGTTTTTGGAATCCCCATCTTTGTTAAAGGAGTTCCCACGCACCCTTCATCCAGGCTGCAAATTGTGCCCTCTCTTTTGGAGTCCTTTGGAAATTCAGAAATGTGGAAACTACTTTGGGAATGGAAATTCCTGGGCTTCTAACTGAGTGAGTGGACCCTGCTTCGCCCTTTTGACTAACCATTACGTAAGCCATGGTGCCCTCCTTCTGTATCACCCTAATTTGCAGAGCCTAATATATTTGTGGCTTTCTCACATGCCCTCTCTGTGACCCCCTGTGATCTATGTGGCGATTATATACACAAGGGAATCTCTAACTCACCAAGTTAAGAGCACAGAATTCCAGCTGGGGTGGGGGGGGAGGTGTCCAAATGGTGCCCTCCAGTTTTGAGGGAATCTGGCAACATTATGTTGATACTGGGAGAAGCCAGAGGGCTGCCAGAGATAATTTCCCTATGCCTTGTTCCCTTTGGTTTTCAAGTTGACCTTCTCGTTGGCAGTAAACTTGACTTTGCAATATTCATCCCTGATCTAGAGCTTAATTCCCCGAGAGGATGTGAGACTGCCTTCCTTGAACCTAGTGTGCCCACTTTAAAAGCTATCTTTTCAAGTCATTGAAACTGACTACAACTAGCTGTAGGGTTTTGTCATGATCACATATTACCTTGTATTAATATTTAGTCTGGGTTCTTCAAAGAAACAGAATATATGTGTGTGTGTGTGTGTGTGTGTATGTGTGTGTGTGTGTGTGCGTGCGCGTGTGCGCGCACGCGCGCAAAGAGATCTATCTGCCATCTGCAAGCTGGAAACCCAGGAGAACTGGAAATGCAGTTCAGTCCAAGTCCACAAGCCTGAGAACCAGGACTGCTGATGGTATAAGTCTCAGCTCGAAAGCAGGAGAAGACCCATGTGTCAGTTCAAACAGTGAAAGCAGAGAAAGAATTCTCCATTCCTCCGCCTGTTCAGGCCCTCAACAGATTGCATGATGCCCATCCACACTGGGGAGGGCAGTCTGCCTTACTGAGTCCACTGACTCAGATGTTAATGTTACCCAGAAACGGCTTCACAGGTACCCCCAGAAACGTTTAGCCACGTGTCTCGGCACCTTGTCATCTACTCACGTTGACACATAAAATTAACTGTCACCATTAATAATATCTTTGAACATCAATGGAATGTGGTAAAGCCGGGCAGTTTTCAAAGTGTAAAACCACGTAATTATTGCAGATGAAATTGCTTCAAAGGGTCCTCTTCCAACTGGAGACCTGGGAGTCCTCCTTGCTTTTCTTTTCCTGATCTTATACACAGAACCAGTAGAATCCTGTGCAGGTGTTTCTACTTGCCCAGTACCTTGATTCTCTCCCCTCTCCTCTACCTGCTGCCACGATGCATGATTCACTAGCCATTCTCCTTAGGTTCATCTCAACCCCATCAACCGACCCTCCACACAACCAACCTCCAGAGGCACTTTTTTTCAAACAGCAAGTCAAACCATACATTTTCCTGCATAAAATTTCCAGTTGCTCCCCATAACCTCCAGGAAGAATTCGAGTTCTGCAGCAAAGCGTAGACGGCCCTTCATGAGCTGCCCTAGGTTCACATGTCACTTTTTCCACTCAGTGCTCCCCTCTATGGAGCCATTGGCTCTCTACACGTGTGTATGTTTCTCCAAACACATCACATCTGTGCACACTGGGGCGTGTGGACACCTCTCTGGCTTACATGCTGTTCCCTCATCTGTCCCTCCCCAACAGCCCTCTTAACAGCCTTCTCATTGGCCAAGCTCTAATCCAAGTATCCCCTAAGGAAAGCCTTCCCTGCCTGACCCCCAGCAAGTTAAGTTTCCTCCCAGCTCTTTGCCTTTTGAGTACAGGCAGGTAAAGCATCACTGGGTTTTGCAATTGAGTATTTGCATATTCCCAGATTCCTTTCTCTCAATTCATTATAAGCTTTATGAGGGCAAAAATGAGGCATGTTCTGTCTTTGCACTTGAGGATACCACCGTTATGTGAACTTATGTGTGTCAAAGTCTTCAGTGGTCATCTTGACTTCTAAAAGGTTCAGACAAAATTGCCATTGGTTAATACTCTAAACACGCATTTAGGAAGCTACTGTGGCTAAAACTTCCTTATCAGTAGAAGTGGTTTGGTTGGGAAATTAATAAATATCAATGGTTAACATAAATATTAAATATTTAAGTATCAAATAAACATGTATGCTCTGCTCCAAACCGTGTAGCAGGCATGCACTAAGTCATGACTGTTGTCATTGTTTTTGGATTGTCATTGTTATAAACATGCTTGGAAGTCAGTACTTGGTCTATGTTGACTTCACCATCTTATATCCCAGAGAAGGTAGAGGTATTACCCCAATAACGAGAGGAAGTGTTAACGAAGATTATATTTGTGAAAGGAGAACCAAATCTGGAACTAACTGAAGAAACGCCAGAGATCTGTTCAACCTATATTGTTCATTTCCCACTGAGTACTATCCATACTCCTAACCCTGAGTATTAGGGCAGGCCCCATAATCTGATCCCAGTGGACCATTCCTATCTTAGTTCCCATCAAATCGTTTCAGAAACCCTGCATTCCACCCTGTGGAAACTCGTCACAACCCCTCTGCCCCCCTGCTTTCTTGTCTCTCATATTTGCTTGTGCTGTTACTTACTACCTGAGCTCCATATTATGTAACCAAAGTGCTCCCCTCGGTCAAGAATCCCCTTATAGATAATCACCGCTTCCAAGACTCCTGAGTCCTCGGTATCTAAATGTTCACTTCGTGCCGACACATGTACAGTAAATCTCTCATGCGGTTCATCAGTTGCCTGCCATATCCTCGTCATTTCTTACCTCCTCTCCTATAACCGAAGCCCTGGATCAGGAAACGTTCCCTAGTCTGGCTGTACAAGTCCCATAATATTACTGAGTGTGAGATACCTCACCTTTAAAAAAAATAAAGGTTAATTGGGAGGATTTCTACGGTGGTCTGCACCTCTGTAATGTATGAATGCATGAACTAACCACAGATACTACCTACTCAGCCACGGACCAATTTATTTTCTTCTCAAGCCAAACCTAACAAGCCTGTAGGAATTAAGACCAAAGCTTAAATTTAAAATTACTGCTCTAAAACAATGCAAGCATATCAAAGTAGTGTCTTCCACCAAAACTGAGCTTAACCAGTATTTCATTAAATTGGGGACTCAGTTTCAAACACAAGGCATATATTTCCCTGAATCAAACATACTGTCCTTCCTGGAGTGCATCGGATTTTACTAGATATTGAAGATAAATAAATAAATAAATAAGAAACCAGAACTAAGAGTTTAGGAACAAAGGTTGTCATATGATCTTGAAAACCAAAGTGCCTTCACAGGCATCACAGATGGGAAAACCACTACTGTGGACATAGAAATTCCATAGAAACAGGATTACAGTTGCTCTAACAAAAAAAGAAACTCAAAACAAAGGACGATTTCAAAGCCGAAGTTGAAACTGAAAGGAACAACTTTCAAAGCAGAAGCTGAACCACCTTCTGCAAAACCACAGAGGCTATTGGAGCAGAGTGGACGGCCTCTGACGAGTCACAGCTTTGTTCTCCAGCATTGGACTGTATGCTTTACTCCTTCCTGAAATTCTTTGACTTGGTAGCACTTGGCTTTTGAACCTCATTACTCCCAGGGCCTGAATTTTATAAGAGTTTCCTGGGCAGCCTGCCAAGACGTGGGAGGAAAGTCCCCATTAGCACTATTATGTCACCACTTGGGAGCTTGGGTATTGCTTGAGCAGCCAGAGCACGGAGGTGCCTGAGGTGAAGCACCTGGCTTTGGAATTGCCAGAAGGATTCAGGATGAGCACAGAGAAAATGAAAAATATATATACACGTTATGTAGTGGGATGAAGTATCTATCCATATACATTGATTTATGTTATATATTGATGGCACACCATTTATATTTATATACTAAGACTATACTGTAATATTACATATACATATATATATTACAGCATACTTTTATGTATGTAAAATATGTATATTACAGTATAGTCTTAGTATATAAATATAAATGGTGTGCCATCAATATATAACATAAATCAATGTGTATGGATAGATACTTCATCCCACTACATAAAGTGTGTGTGTGTGTGTGTGTGTGTATATATATATATATATATATACATAAAGTGTATAATACATATGTATACATATGTAAAATATGTATATTACTGTATGTTTTTATATATAGTATATTTGTATATACAGTATATTATATATATTTATATACTAATATATAGTGAACTGAAATATATGTTGAAATTCGTATTTCATATATGATTATATATAGTATATGATGTATACAATGTATAATTTATACACATATTCTTAGGGTAAGAATAGCTAGATTTAGGGAGATAGCTAAAGACATCTTCCAATCATGTGAGGAAGGACAGAGTATTAAAGGGCTTTCTAGATCTAAAAAAAAAAACAAAACACAAAAGTCTTCCTAAGCATTAATTTCCTTATCAGTAAAATGGATTAGGAATCAGGTAAGAAAATGTTCATAAAAGCATTCTGGAAGCTTCATAATTGAATACAAATAAAAGGCATTATAATTCATTGTAAAATAGACACCTGTTTTGCAGTATAAATATACATCAGCCATGGTCAAAGTCCTGAGGACATTTAAATGTTTGAATTTAAATTATCCTATCTAAATGGGGCAGAAGTAACTCTAGACCAAGGTCCGCAAGTATTTCCTAGACACTTATATAGGCTTCAGGGGCCGAGAGGTGAAGTCATGTATTTTGTGCATACTTAACTACAGAGAGAAAACTCCTCATCCCCCCCCCCCATTTGATGGGGGTGGGCCTCTCGTGTGCTGGGCATGCTTTATCCCTAATTTCCATCTGCTAGAGACATTTCTGATATGAAAGCACTGGCCTGAGGGGAAAGGTCTGCCTAGCGTGTGGGAAGAAGAAGGAAGTGTTATGGACCGAATGCCTGTCTCCCCCAAATCCATGTTGAAACCTTAGCCCTTGGTGTGATGGTATTAAGAGGTGGGGCCTTTCGGAAGTAATTAGGTTTACGTGAGGTCATGAGGGAAGAGCCCCTATGACAGGATCAGAGAACTTGCTCTTCTCTCTACAGTGTGAGGATACAGCAAGAATGCAGCTGTCTACAAGAGGGTTCTCATCAGGAATCAGGAACTGAATTGGCTGGCACCTTGATCTTAGACTTCCCAGCCTCCAAACTGTGAGAAATAATTATTTGTTGTCTATAAACAAAAAAAAATAAGTTGTCCTCTCTGATCTTCCTATAGAAGGTTCTATTCACTCCATAATTCACTCATTCATTCATTCAACAGATACTTAGTGAACAGCAGCTATGAACCAGGAATGAGGGGTACAGCAGTGAACAGCCCAGAATCCCTTTCCTCAGGAACTTATATTGCAGAGTGAGGACAGCAAATACATAAATGAACAAATAAATGCATCGTGCCACAAAGTGATGAAAAGTGTTGAAAATAAGTGGGAGTCAAGCCGGGGGTACCACTTGATACAGGGTGATTGGGGAAGAGTTGGCCAGTAAGTTGGACATTTGCTCAGAGACCCAAGAGAGTGGGGATGGCCCACGGGGCAACCGGGGAAGCACGGTACAATGCATAGACATTGAGGCCCGAAGGCACCTGAGGGTGTCTGGGAACCAGCAAGGAGGCCAGTGGAGTCAGAGGAGTGGGGAAAGAGATGACATCAGAGAGCACAGCGGTACCGGTCCTCAGAGGCCCCCTCAGACTTGAGGTTTCACACCTGGAGTGCCATGGGTGGTATCCAGAGGCTTTGAGAAAAGTGACATGATTTCAGTTCTGGTTTTCAGGAGAGCGGCTCTGAGGATAAAGTTGGGAGTAAGGACAGGGCAGGGATACTGGTTGAGTCGCTAGAGCAATAATCCAGGTGATATAGTTGTTCTTGGACCAAAGAGGGTTGAATTGAGTCTCCAGGTGGCCACCTTATCTCAGATTAATAATTATGTGTATTTCCCTGGAGTTTCCAAGTACCTCTGTACCCATCATCTCACTGAATTCTCAATATATCCCTACAGTAGAGGCACACCAGCTACTCATGCTCGCTGCATAGAGGAGAACCTTGAGACACAGAAGTTAGGCGTCCTGCCTGGGGCCATAAAAAGGTAGACCTGAACCAGCTGTGCCTCCCAAGCCAGCGCTCTTTCTGCCAACCCTAGACCATGGCCAACCCTTCTTGCATTACCTTACCTCTTTGACCACAGAGCTACCAGACCACTGCAGGGTGAGAATCGGCCCTTAGGGAGCTTCCGGAACGTTCCTGGGCCAGGGCAAGATGTGTTACAAGCAGGGTCTCCTTTATGCTTCACAGCCACCTTTCAGGGAACAGGATCATCCCCCTTTTAAGACAAAGGAAGTGCTCCTTTTAAGCGATCACCCCTCATTTTAAGACACAGGAAGGACTGATTGGCCCAACATCCGGCAACTGGTGGTGGATGTGGAATTAATTCAAAGCGCAGTTTTCCGACTCAAAAACCCGGGAAGCCTCTGCAACCCAGATAACCGAAGTTCTTACCCGATCAGACAAACACGCAGGACCCGTTCTTGCTTTCCCTTCTCCGCGGGGGCCACAGGAGGGAAAGGGTAACGCCGGGGCCGCGCACGTTGGCGGAGCGGGGCAGCAGGACCCCGCGACGGTACCCCCCCCCCACCTTCGCGGAGGGGATCGGGGCTCCCCAGCCCACCCCCCACCCCCCGCCTTCCCGGAGGTTCTCTGAGCGTGTGTTCTGTCTCTCCGTGCAGGGTGCTCCAAAGTGACCTGCATCAGCTTGACCCGGGAGGCCTCCATTAAACTGTCCCCCTTGCACGGCAAACAGATTTCCATCCGCTACCTGGACATGACGGACTGCTTCGTGCTGGAGGACGAGGGCCTGCACACGATCGCCGCGCACTGCACGCAGCTCACCCACCTGTACCTGCGCCGCTGCGTGCGCCTCACCGACGAGGGCCTGCGCTACCTGATGGTCTACTGCGCCTCCATCAAGGAGCTGAGCGTCAGCGACTGCCGCTTCGTCAGCGACTTCGGCCTGCGCGAGATCGCCAAGCTCGAGTCGCGCCTGCGGTACCTCAGCATCGCCCACTGCGGCCGCGTCACCGACGTGGGCATCCGCTACGTGGCCAAGTACTGCGGCAAGCTGCGCTACCTCAACGCCCGGGGCTGCGAGGGCCTCACGGACCACGGCGTGGAGTACCTCGCCAAGAACTGCGCCAAGCTCAAGTCCCTGGACATCGGCAAGTGCCCGCTGGTGTCCGACACGGGCCTGGAGTGCCTGGCCCTGAACTGCTTCAACCTCAAGCGGCTCAGCCTCAAGTCCTGCGAGAGCATCACGGGCCAGGGCCTGCAGATCGTGGCGGCCAACTGCTTCGACCTGCAGATGCTCAACGTCCAGGACTGCGAGGTGTCCGTGGAGGCCCTGCGCTTCGTGAAGCGCCACTGCAAGCGCTGCGTCATCGAGCACACCAACCCCGCCTTCTTCTGAGCGCGCTTGGCGCGCGCCGCACGGACCCCACGAACCCCTTTCTAGAAAGCAGCGTATGTAAGCACCGACCGCCGCTCGCTCGTAACAGCTCTTTCTTCCTGGAAGGTTCTTAGGCATCCGGCTTTTCTTTCTCCCTATGTCTGGCAGGCCCACAGGGGTCAAGGGAAGGAAGGGGGAGTGGGGGAGGGAGGCCAGGGGCCAGGGGGGGGAGGGGGCCTGTTCTGTTGAGCAAGCAGGAGCCGGGATCTTGTGGTCGGGTCGTGCCGAGGCAGCGTCTGGAGTCTCCCAGTGCCTAAAGCAAGCTAGTGTTGGGAGGCGCCTCTTTTCTCTGTCTCTCCGCCCTAAGCCTCCCAGGCTTCTCGCGCCCCCTGTACCTCCACCCCCACCATCCCTCTAACAGCAGCCACAAATCCTCCGAATAGTGATGCTCTCCGGACCTCCTCCCCCTTAAACTGCTTCATTGGCCTAAGCCCTACCCATCAATCCCACACCCAGGCAGATTCTCGTTAAAGAATATACAAAGTGGTATATGCAAAGTGCTAACGACCCTTTTCTAAAGAATCACTTGTCCAGGCAGCAAGGTGCAGGGGAGGGAGAGGGAGTGGGGGCTGCATTCTTCCCCCCAGCTCTGCCGCTAAATAGCTGTGTGACCTTGGGCAAACCACTTGACCTCTCTGGGCTTCAGCTTCCAGCACTGAATCAGAGGCCACCCCTGCCCCAGGATCCGCTCCCTTCCCATTTTAGAACTGAGAGGACAGAGATGTCAATAAACAGGAGCACCCTGGCCTGGACCGTAGGAGGCATCCACCTCTATTGGTTTTGGAGGGTGCTTTCAGGAGATTCAGAAGTGCCAGCGTGAATGCCCTATAGTTCCTTCACTCCAATCCGAATGTCACTCCACCCCTGTTTATTTTGGTGGGTGAGTCTCTTGGGCACCCTCCCTGTCCCCCTAGGTGGATCGTTTCTGTGACAAGGGCTTCCCACACGGGTGCACCCCATGCCCTCTTGTGGAGGCAGTGGGATTCCTACGCACAGCACAGCCCATATCCTCAGTCAAGGTGATCTTGCTGAGTGTTTTCAAATAGGAGGAAAGACCCTCACGATTTTTAATTAACAAGGGAGGCCCAAGAGAACGCATGTCTTCCAAGGTTTTTCCAGTCCCTCTCAGTGCACCTGTGGCCTGCATCAGGCAGGTCTGCCCGGCAGCTGGCAGGAACAGGCCTGTTGGTTCTTTGTCATTCAGATCACATTTCGACTTTTCTCATCTATTTATTTCTTTGGGCATCCAGACATCATCGCATGAAGCCTGTTGGGGTTAAGTCATAAGTGTTTAACGGTGCAGATTTGCCACCTCGGGTGCCTTCTCCCATGGCTCTCTAAATGTTCTCTGTCCAAGAATGCACAACAGACTTTCAGGTGTTTAAATACTGTTCACTCAAAAATGTCAGGCAAATGGAAGAAGGAAGTTGATACAACTCAGGCGCCGGTCCACCAACCAGGCCCTTGGAATAGAACGTTAAAATTATTGCCAAATAGGAACTTTAAATGGCCCTATTTGGATGGCGATCCATTTGGTAGCTTCATGCGTGTGAGATCAGGATGCCAGAAAAGTCCGCTGCTCATTTTCATGAAATTTAGTTGCCTTTGGTTAATCCACACATGACTTTTCCCAGATTATTCTCTAGCCACCACTCTCCTTCAACACTATTCAAGTACTCAGCCGTTTCTTTCTCAAAGGGTCCACCTCCCCAACCCAGAACCTCTGCATCTCCAAGCCAGGTGTATGGAATTTGTTTCACATCGAGCCCACACGCAAGTCAACAGCTGCACTCCCACCGTCGGCTCACTGTGTTTCTTTGTCTTCTGTTGGGAAGGAAGAGATAGAGTGACGTGGCACCTGCCCAGGGGGTTCCTCTCGTGCGTCATATGACATCACCTCCTCTCCAGTCAACATCGCCAACAACTTAGTGTGCAGTCGAGACTACGTGCCACGGGGGGAAATGAATTGCTTGCCTGGGAATAGTATCCTGGAGATAGCACAGGGTTTAGAGTCATGGATGAGGTTGAAGGTAGCGTTCCCCTGCTCTGTGACTGTCTAAAATTTCAGAATTTGAGAGCCAACAGAGGATTGTCCCTACCCCTTGGCACCGGGGTCTTCCAAGTGGTATTTTCATACTCCCGGAATGAGAAGAGAGATCCAAAATGGCTCCCTGAACCAGAGAATAGGTGTCCCATTAAAAATACCTTTATCACCATCACCTGACCGCATCACCTAAACTGTCTTCCAAACAGGAGTCAAAGGTGACCTCTACATTCATTGCCCAGCACATGCTGTCTTTCCCCGTCTCTCCTTTTTCCCCGTCTTCTCTTCATCCGCTTTGCCTCCACTTGGGGTGGGAATCTGTGGCAGAGGTCACTGGGGAAACAGCTCAGCAGATTTTTAGAGACCAAGCAAAAGGCCTCACTAGGAAATCTCTCTGTTTTAAAACATTGCTTCCTTCCTGCCTCTGCGAAAATGAATGCTCATTGTTGTTTTTTTATTTCTAATGTTCAATCACTGCGTGCTGTATGACTCTAGAAAGCCTTAATTTACTACCACCAAGAAATAAAGCAATATGTTGGTAATTGGGTTAAGCCTCATTTAATACCCTGGCCAGAGGAACATGGTGTTCAGAGAGGGACATCCAAGGGTGAGCAAGCTCTCTTCTGAAGTAGAGAGCAAGTCAGGTCACTGCAGCTCTTGTCCACTTAAAGTTGCATTTTGTCATTTCCCTTGGTTCAGTGACTGTGGCTGAAAATTAGGAGGCGGGTGAAAAATCATTACCTTCACAGTTTGGTTCAGGTCTTCAATTCCTTAACCCAAACTCTTGGAGTCAGATGTATTTTGGAATTCATAATTTTTTTTTATATTTTAGGAAGCTACCTGTGGTGTATTTTGAAATACCTCTAGCAGAGTCTAGAACAGCACCCTTAGTCAAACATTAGTCAAACATGTTAGCAATAGGTACAAATAGTCACACTGTGTAAGATTATTAGAGACTGTAAAGAGCCTTGCATCCATTCAGGTCAGATTCTGTCACCAAATTAATTTGCACCAAACACAATGAAAAAAAAAAATCTTCTATTCCTTCAGAGATTTCCAGATTTCAGAATTGTGGATACGTAACTGTGGACCTGAATGCACTTCCCCTGGCCCTAATGCAAACATTGGAGTAATCTTCAAAATTATGCTATTGGTTGTTATAAATCTTTTAAAAGGTCTTAAAGCATTAAAACCACCTAGCAGGGAAATATGGCAACTTGATCTAAAAGGAAAAATTATAATTCAGTTGGAAAAAAGTACATGCCGATTCTCTACTCACCAACACCTTTGGGTCCAATAAATCAATAGGGCAGAAAGCAAGTACTGAGAGATGAATGGCACACTTCAGCCTTAGCAAGTAAAAAGGTTTTAAGAGATATTGATTTTAAATGTATTTGTCCTCAGCTTTCTTCGGGTCCTATGTCAGCTGCTTAATGACTGTCACGTTAACCAATAGGACGGTTAACTACCTGGGAACATTAAGTTGAGGCAGCCCCAGGCGGTTCCTGTCAAGATCCCAGAATAAAGCTAGCAGTAAGTAAAATGCATTTGTCCTTGAGGTTCATGACTTCTGAGATTGACATTTGTTCAGAATTAGAAAAAGTCTTCAAGAAACTTGATATCCAAGAGCGTGCGGCATGAAACCACACAGGTCGGACATTTTTAAGAGGAAAAGTAATTCGATAAAATTGCTACCCACGTCTAAGTTTTCACAGAGAAGTCACAAAAAGTAGTACATTTGTTCAAGAGCTAGCAGTCATGATTAGTTAAGAAAGACATTAGTTGGAAGAACTGCTGAATCGACAGTAGGGGAGGGGAGAGAGCATATTTAGAGACCTGGTAAACACTGAAGTGAAAACGTTCATACAGACGATCTGTGAAATCAGGTGGGGTTCCCTCTTGCATGCTGTTGGTCAAGTGGTTTCTCCTCGATCCATTCACCAGACATGGTTCTTGATGTCGCAGGAAGGGAAGGCACGGGGGAAGGGGCGTGCCTGTCATCATCTGTCTGCAGTGGATGCTGATGCTACCACTGAGACGCCCCCAAACACAGCTCTGGGTGCCCAAAGAGCAACTCAGGCACTTTCATTAATGGCCACCTGGTGGGTCGAGCTGTTCAACCTGGGCAGAGAAATACTCCCACAGACACTCAGATTGGGGGCACCCCATCCAGGATGTACCCGGCATGTGACTATTCCTCCTTTTTCTCTGAGTGCGCCATCCTCTCCTAAAGTCACAGGTCCATTTTGTAGAGGCTTTCTCCCCACCTTCAAGCCACTAGATCTCCTAGGATCTGCTAAAACCACCTGGGAAGGAACATCTCCATTTGGAAGCTGGAGGTGGCCCAATCCCTGCCTGTCACCGGCACCCTGTGGCATCTCCAGCAGAGCTGTCCCAAGAAATATCTGCAACTAGGATGCTGGTCTTGTGAACCACCCAGGAGGGCTCCCTTTAAACTCTGAATTCTTGCTCAGGTGTTAGCAACCAGCATCATCCAGGTACCAAGGATGGCCTTGAAGATCACTTAAAAAAAAACAAAAAACAAAAAAAAAAACAAGGAGCCTTGACCTAAATATTTCCAATCTAGCCATTTCTGTACTGTGGAATGTTTCTCTTTGCAGTCACTGAGCTACCGAGTTTTACACTGATGAGATCAAGATGTCTGAACTCTGTCCTGACCCATGAGGATCAACGTATGATGGAGACAGGAAACTACAGCCATTCTCCATAAACAAAGGATGCCCAGGGAGTGCCAGTCATTTTCTTCTGAAGGAGCAGACAGTACCCAGCAACCTGCAACCCCTCTCCAAAGGTTTATCGAGCTGGTACTATTATAGGATCTGGGTAGATAAGAGATAATATCCTTACCCCAAGTGGAACCTTGGATCAAATACTATCATGTTAATGAGCTGTAGAA